ATATTGTGGAACCTGGCCTTGGGGCGGCAAGGAGAGTAAATCCAGCCCTGCCCTTTAGTGAATAACCCCCCCAGAGTGATTTACAGAAGGCTGGCCCATGGGAAGGCTCAGGACCAGGCCTGCCACCATGTAGTCGCTGTGGGTATCTGTCATCTTCCCCTAAGGGGGGGAGTCGACGAAGGACAGGAGCAGCACTATCTGATGGGGCCACTCGCAGGACTCTGGGCAATACCTCTCCACTGGCTCTGGGCTGCACCTCGCCTGACCTCCTCTCTGCTATCTGTGGGTAACGTTCCCTGTGTGCTGGGACAAGCAATGTGCCGTCATCAGAGAATGGGAGGACTGGAGCCTGTATTATATTGGACATAAGAAGAAGATGTTCAAGTAAACGTTACACAAGGTTCCCTGAGTGTGGACTGATCCGTCCCCCGACCTCTAAGATGGGGGGTTCCTGGGGGGCTGGACTGCTGCGGTATCAGTGTAAAGGACTGTATGTGGGGAGAGGTCACGGCAATACCGGTCAGGCTGCTCTCAGAGGTGGTGGTCTCCGCCATGAAGGGGCGTGGTGCTGAGATTCTGCCCGAGGGCCGCGAGTACCTTGAGAGCCCGGCGTTCAAAGTATTCCCGGGGATCTGAGCCCCTACAAAGGCAGCCGGGGCTGTGCCGCCCCAATGGGGCATAGACGTTTATTTAGATAGAAGTTTTACATAGATTGTTTTCTCTATACCATTTTCTATGGACGTTTTATGTGCTAGTTCCTATGCTGCCATCTAGTGGCCTTTGGTGACAATGCACCTGTTTTTCCTGTATTCCTTTCCTCACTTGATGACACATTTCCTCTGTATGTAAGCCCCACCCTTCCTCCTGTTGGTCAGTATTTCCTGTGTCATGGCCACAGCTAACAGCCGCATGTACTCTGCATAGTACCGTAGGAAAAGCATCATCTTTTGACCGCATAATACTGTAACCATTCATCGCTGTTATCCTGTTGTCTGCACGTACAGAATAAAGCAACCTTTGTGGATGAACACGGTATTGGTGAGTTCAGCTATCTGACAAGGATTGTCCGCAGTGAGTATATCTGCTTATACAGGCCGGGCATAGAGGTCTCACAAGGGATACATCGCTATCACAACAATCGGAGTCAGAATAGGGGCAACAAAGAGTACTGCTTTAACCCGTGTATTCTGGCGCCTGGGTCATGAGATGACGAGGGAGCATGAAGCCGGCTTCCCGGGCCAATCAGAAAACAGAGCGTCGCGTCGTTACACGGAGCCCGGCTTCCCGTTTAGACGGCTCCGGCTGGGTAGCGGAGGAAGGCCGCGTTCTCGTTGGAGAGGCCCCCGGGGGTGACAGCCTGCACATACTAAGGTAAGGTAACCTTACCTCTGTGACACCTTTGTTGTTTGCGTTAGATCTCACATAGAAGTAGAGATATTAACAGTTATTTGCTGGGGGGGGAGGGGCTAACCCGTCATCAGCCCCCCCTTGTAAAAATATTGACCAAACAGCTATTTTGGAAGCTATTTGTTAGATCCGGTATGATCAACCCGTTGTTTTGTTAGATCTCACATAATTACAGACTTATTAGATGTCATTTTCTGGTGTAGCGCTCACCCCCGAAGGAGCCGCTGAATGATCGGGTCTTCCAATAGCCTGTCTAGGGGATTATTAAAAACACATGGCTGCCCCCATAGCACTTACCACCTCCAGTGGTCACCGACAGATTGAAGTCCAGACAATAGCTCCAAGATGATTCTCTTTTATTTCTGAACTCCAGGGAGAGAGGGGGAGGGTCGGGCACATCCAGGATGAAGGTAGACTCCTTGTACTTGAAACAGAGCAAAGTAACTGCGGCCACCACAGACTTGGACCTTTAAGCCGTACCGGCAATCTGTGTGGAGAACATCTGGCAAGCAGTACTGTCAAGGGTCTTGTTCAGGCTCAACTTCAGACATGAGTGGCTGACCACTGGGCCTCCAGGCTCAGGCCCAAGTGTCCGGGCCTAGGCCCCCCCCTGGCTTAGGCCTAGTCCATTCTATCTCTTCAGCAGCAAGTGTCCTGCCCCAGGCCAGGAGGCCCTGGGGAGGGGAAGGAAGAGACTGTTGCATCAGCCACACTCAGCATTTATATCCTCTCCCAGCATGCATCACTGCTACTGTCCTGCAGTGATTGGCTGGGAGTCATAAATGCCCAAAGCAATCCTCATTGGCTGTTCTGCCCTGTGTGGTAACACCCCCACCCACAGGCAGACACAGCCCCACAGATTGTTCTGTCACCGTTGAACTGAACATAGACTACAGATATGATCTAGCACTCCTTTTTTAGCAAGGTGCTACACTGGTAAAATTTAATTCAGGCTATTAGGCCTTCGTTAGATCCGGTAAGATCGAGTGGTTTCACCTTAGCCTTTTCGGGGGTGGGGTGGTGAAGCACGTTTCCATGTTTTACTCATTTCTGTAGCCTCAGGGTCACATGGATATACCCGGCTTTCATCCGTGGTCACTAACCGTACACAGCTGACATCTCTTCATGGATTATTTGGGCAGATTTCCCCTTGAAGATGGAGGAACCTAATCACGCCTCGGTATTCAACTTTGTCCACCGCGACACCTACTCCGTTTCTCTCGGCTCCGACTATAATTCACCACGGCCTACAAAAACTGTCCGTCTGGGACCCACAAGGGAGATCCCACACCCTATTCCAGGTATCTGTTCACAGTACTACTACTACTACTATTGGTCTCTGGGACCAGATCGCAGCGATTTCGGCCTTAGCGGTTGCTAGGGGAGAAAGCTGTCCTCAGAAGTATTTCCAATGGCATCCTACAGACCCTAAACCCTCTCTCTCCTATTGATGTTGCAAATAAATACCCTAAAAAGACCCTGAGACTCGAGCCGTTCTGTCCGTGAGTGTCGGTGTGCTGTTGCTGATCAAAGGGGACCGGTAGCTGGAACCAACAGGTAGGAGAACCTATTATCATGATTCAGCGGCTCCTTCGGGGGTGAGCGCTACACAAACATTGGCATAAGATAGCCACCTATAAACCTGCAACATTTCCGATCCCGGGCACATCTAGATCATGGTGAGGGTAAGGACTTATTGGCCTCCCC